ATTGTCAAAGTCCCAGCCATTTGTATCCAAAAGATTAAGAATTCATCATGCACCACCAATCAATCAAGGAATGATCAACATTTAATATGATTAATATGTTACTGATAGAATTTTTTTCCAACTGTACTAAAATAATGAAACAAGGTAGGTTTTTCAGTTTGATTGAACTGATATTATGTGATAAATTTAATCACATTTACTCTTACTGAACAATTGAACTTCTGGAGACTTAAAAATTATAATGAATAGATAAAGATGATCTATGAGTGATCCTCTAATCAGTAGCAACTTTTAATGAATAGATTTTAAAAGTGAACAAGAAACCGAAGAATATCTTTTTCAATAACTTGCACGGACCAGAATGCAGGTCTGTTTAAAGCACATGGAAGTTCAGCAACTTCAGTGTGAAGTCCAGCAAACACTATATCCAGAATTCAGTTCTATGAATAAATAATTATGACACTCACCAAAGAATATTATGCTCCTTTTGTGACTAAAAATGCAAGTTGAAATATTTCATAACATGGAAGACATACATACAAGTGCAGACTGAACCAGGAAAACAAACTTGATTGATTACATCTGCTGAGTATATCTGGAGCCACACCTCAGAAAAGATACTTCTAAATGAACTAAATGGCTTTTCAACTTTTCAGGTAAAAAAGGGAAGGTGAATAAAAAAATTGATACAATTTTAACTACCTAACATTAATTGTGAGGGATTAGAAACTTGAAGGACAATTGATAAAAGAGTTTTAGTAACTGCAATGATGACAGATAAATACTTATTCAATACTAATACCACACCAACTGCTTACACAAATATTTCTACAAGGTTGTTCAATAAGTTCGCGGAGCGCCATCTATTCGTCAATATTAGACCTAAAACTTCGGCGCCATTTTCATATTTGTTCTTTCTTAGGAACACGTCAAAATTTTCATTTCAATCTGTTAATTTATTCATTGTTTAACCGTGCTTTATAGCTAACGTGCTGTGCCTTTTTTCAGGTATGGATAAAATTGAGCAACGTGCATTTACCAAATTCTTTGTAAAGAAAGGTTTAAAGGCGATGGAAAGTCATACCGAAATGGTGAATGTGTTGGGTGAATCTGCTCCTTCAAAAACAATGGTTTGCAAGTGGGCTAGTTTATTCAAAAGTGGTCGTATCAGCCTTGAAGACGATCCGTGAGAGGGACGTCCAAAAACTGCATCAACAAAAGAAATCATCGGAAAAATACAAGATATGGTATTGGAAAACCGTCGATTGACTGAAAGAGATTTAACAGAGGCTTCAGGCATTTCATTCGGCACAGTGAGCAATATTTTGAGTGCTAATTTGGGTTTCAAAAAACTCTGTGCAAAATGGGTGCCACATTCTCTAACGATGGAGCAAAAACACATTCGGATGCGACTTTGCCAGCAACATTTGGAGCATTTTAAGAATAAAAGCGAAAAGCGACTTTAACCATCGATTTATCACAATGGATGAGACTTGGGTCTACCATCATGAGCCGGGTTCAAACCACTGCTTAGCCAGGAGGCTAAGGAGTTGGTGTTGAACTCCGACTCTTTGGCGCCGAAGCGAGCTTCGTGTGCAAAAATCAGCCAAGAAGGTGTTAGCATCAGTTTTTTAGGGATGCGAAAGGAATTTTGTTTATAGATTACTTTCAAACAGGCAAAACAATTAATTTGGATTATTATTGTAACCTTTTGAATCAATTAGATGAAACAATTTGTGAAAGAAGATCTGGATTACAGAAGAAGAAAATCATTTTCCACCAAGATAACGCACCTTTGCACACAGCTCAAAAAACCATTGCTAAAATAACTGAATTGTTGCAACATCCAGCCTATTCGCCAGATCTAGCTCCCTCCGACTTCTGGCTCTTCCCACATCTCAAACAATATTTCCATGGAAAACGATTTTCTTCAAACGAAGAGGTAATAGCTGCTGTGGAGGGATATTTTGCAGAGCTGCCGAAAAACCACTACAGTCAAGGGATCCATAAATTAAAAGACCATTGGAATAAGTGTATCGAAGTTGAGGGAAACTACGCTGAAAAAGTCATTTTTACAAATAAAAATTGGTTTCTTCATTTCCGTTTTGCGAACTTATTGAACAACCTGGTAAGCATGATACATATGAAAGAGATGTATGCAAATAATGAAAACGAAATATGACAAAATAATAAGTAAGAGAATTTATATCTTCTGATTAGAAACAGATTAGTTAAAAAATTTCTAAAAACATTTCAAAAATGCAATTTATATGTGAAATTTTTTGCAATTGCACAAATAAATTATTAAAGAACTTTTATTTCTAATTAACATGAAAAAACATCAACTTTCATATTTGTAGTAAATTTCCAACAAACTTTCTTTATTGATGACATCTGCTGAATCTATCTGGAACCACACCTCAGAAAAAACACATCTAAATGAGCCAGCTTTTCAATTTTACAGTGCTATCATTTTCTCATCGCTTAATGTTGTCATTAGGGTAATAGGTACTATTCCGTTTTGAGGACCGTACAAAATCGCCAAACTATTGTTGATGCCAGTGCTGCCAAAAATAATTGCGGCAACCCCAATGCAAGAAAGGAAGTGTAATATTAAATAACTATCTAAAGATTATTGTTTTAATTTAGGTAATAAGGTTAATTTCATATAATACTTTTTATTATTATAATTTATATAAAAAAAGGCTAAACATGACTAAATGGAAGCATAAGAGTAAATAACTATTTGAGATCATTATTATAATTTATATAAAAAAAAGCTAAACATAACTGAATGGATTCCTACATCGCTATTTCGCTACCGAGCTATCGCTAAAGCATAATTTCATCTCGTTGGTTGTTCAAACATAATTTTCCATAATGAATGATGTGTTTTCTTTGAAAAAAATCTCGGTAAAGTGCAGAATCATCCACTTATTTGTTTGGCGCTTTTTACAAGGGTAAAAACATAAAAACAATTGGACTTTTGTCAATTTTTGTTTACTTTTTAAGTGAAATAGGCGCAGTGCCATTTTTGTGCAACTCTGGGATTTTTTTTTAAAGTGAAAATAGGTCGATGTGTACATGTATACTGACTAAAGTGCAGAAGCACTTTTCCCAAAATTCTATTGCAGACTTTCATGGGCAATTCCCAAATTGTTAAATCAAATATCAAAAAAGGATTTAAAAAATTAAACTAGTATTTCAATGGTGTCTTAATAAATATAGAACTATCTAAACTTACGCAATTTGAAATTAGCACATACGCTAGATTTGGCGCACTGTTAAATGGGCACATTTGCTAGATTTGGCGCTTTTGTGCATACATTTTCGATGCAATTTTTTACGGTCCTCAAAACAGAATAGTACCGGGTAATATTATCGAAGTAGCCATGAACAAATGCAATCACATTAAGCATTGAAAACAATAAAACTTAATGTAAACAGATTATAAAAAAGTCTTAATTCATATAAAGCACATTTTTCCCCACACATTCATGTTATTGACAGAAACAGGGAAAGAAGTTATAGAATGTTTAGGATAATTAATCTTAAAAAACTCTTCTACTTGCTAATTTATTGTTTCCTTTGATTTCAATTTATTCTACCTATTCAATAATGAAACCAAAGTTAATGAATATAATTTAAATTCTCCTTTCTTTAAATTGTTTAAATAAATTTCAAACAGAGCACACTTTTTCTCTTTATTAATACTTCAGTACTTCTAAAGAAACACTAAACTGAGAGATGGGAGCAATATACCTTTTGTACTCTTTTTAAAGTGTTATCAGCTCATAAGAAGCAAAAGCAGATATAAGAACAGAACCCATATTAATCTAACTTTTTAAAGAACCAACACACATAAAGTTAACCAAAAGAATACTAGGATCAGAAAAAGAAAAATTACATAACACATTATAGTTAACAAATTCTGATGTTACTCAAATTATATTATTTTCAAAATGACCACATAACTGCAAGTTGAAAATGAATAAGTTTCTTTCTCTTACACCTCTGCAGTTTTAAGAATTATTTTCTTTCAATCATTTTATTTAAATTCTTGAACAATAATTTTTTAGTCATAAAAACTTTCCATTAATTTTATTTATTAGGGAATCTTGAGTCTCCTTCCGTGATTCTTACATAAGTAAATCCTTCCTTATATAATGGCAGTTTGAAACAATGTGGAAGAACATGTTGCATATCTGCAACTTACAAAGTACATAATAAAATATAATTACATGATAAAATAAGATATAATACCTTGGATAGCAGCTACGTTTATAAACAATCATACTTTTTACAATATAAATAAAAGCTTTATAATTTTTTTACAAAAAAAGTAAATACCATTATTTTAGTCTAAATGTCAATGTACTAAAAACGAATATTTAAAAATTTCCTTTCAAAGAATAAACGAAATTAACAGTTACAACACAACATAGAGTTATAAATGGCATAATTATTAAAAAAAAATCTCTTTGGAAGTAAATTATAGATATTTAAATAAATTTACAGTGAATTACAGATATTTTTTAAAGAACATTAGAAATTCTAATATTAGAAAACTTATTCTAGCACTTTAAGTTACAATTAATGTATAAAAATACCTACACACTATTTTCTTATTTTCAGAAAAAAAGCTATGAAACTTCTTGCTTAAAATAACTAATGTAATTTCATTTTTCATGAAAGCAAGTTCATCTGTTTATAGAACATTTTTAATTATCAGGCACCAAAATAATTACTTGTATTCTTCTTTGCTTAAAACTTTGTATTTCTGTCCCCAAATTACACAAATATTTGCACAATAAATTAATATGTATAAACTGAAAAGGTTATGAGATGCAACACAGTACTTTTCAGATAAAAGAAATTTTGTAGAATTTACTTCTGAGAAAAGTCTAACGATGACTGCTATCCAAATTCACAGTGATTTTCTTTATTTTCCATGACTTATTTATAAAAGTATGAGCACATGTATAAATAAAACTAAAAGCTTGCTCATGAATTTGAAATTTATTGTATTTTAAAAATCCAAAAGTTATTCTAATCCTAAAGAATAATTTAGAAACTGAACTCCAGTAAAGATAACTGGCTGCCAAGCAACAAGATACCTAATAAAATCTAACAAACTACCATAAAATACATGTGGTTTTTCCCATCTGATATTGAAGTAAAGGTTATTTCACTTAAAGTTTTGACATGAAAATACCATTTATATATTATGAAAGAAACACAGTATATTACACTAAGATTCAAAGGATTCATTCTAGGCAACTTCTTTATACACACTATCAAAAGTTCATTATAAAAACAAAAATTGCTTTGGTCCTCAAACATGGAAACAAATTTTATTCCTGCGATTTTTTGCTTGAGGGAGAGAATAGGTCTTGCACATAAATGACAAAAAGAGTTTTATGAATTTATTATTATATTAGAACAAGATTTATTTAGTTTAAAAATAGATAAGGGTGTACTTCTCTCTGAGTTAGTGAAAAGTTACAAAACAATTAAAAATTTCAGGAAAACTTTTCAAATACAGTCAAAAGTTGTTAATCCGGACTTGTCGGGACTTCGGCGATTCCGGATTATCGATTTTTCCGGATTATAGATCATTAGTTTAAATCTGGTAAGATGGCATGCAGAAATTACAAAATTAAAAATATGAAACCGTAATTTATGAAATAAAGAACAATTATGATCTAAAGGGTATCAAAATTTACAAAAAGAAAAAGCTTAATATTTATTTGTTTACTTTATTAAACATTTCTTTCAATGTAAGTTGCTTCGTTTCATGTGATAATACTTTCTCTTTAATTCTATTAAACAGACATAATTTCTTATTTAGTTACAAAGTTCCGCTGTTCAAGTCCTATAATTGCTGTGTTGAGAATACGGACTAATTTGTCAATCAAAATGTTTTTGTTTTCAATAACCTCTGGGTCACTTTCTTCACTATCGAAAGCGAATTATAATAACGAGGAACTTGATTTAAATAATATCAAAGACAGAGTACATCGAGATGAAATACTACACTTAGTAAGGAATTATAAGCCAAATAAAATAAAAACATCTGCCCTGAAGATAAGGATAGTGCTGACAGATCAAGTTCCAATCCGTAGTGTGAAATTGATAAACAGATTTCGGATTTCAAAACATGCTTTCACTTTGTAGATACAAATTACATATCAGTAAATATATATCGGAAATTCTATTTGACATAATCGAAAGTTCAAGCTTACTTTTATGAAATTGCTCTAACAGTCTGCAAAAAATAATAAGCCGGATCCAATTCGAAGATTAAGGAACAATGCAATCTGCAACATTAACTGAATTAGATAATTTTAGCTTAGATTATACCGTCCGTTACACATTAAACGCGCATACGTACAAACATATTTGCAGCCGTAAAGGTCTTACGCGCACTTGTAAATGCCTGTGCGCATGCGTGAACGCGACGCACGCGCAGAAAGTTTGTAGTTTTGAGGTCCGGATTATAGATCATTCTGGATTATGGGTGTCCGAATTAACGACTTTTGACTGCATGTCACAAAGTAACATTTTGCATTATTTATCATGCATCTTCAATACCAAACAAAGTTATTTTACTTCATTTAAGATAAACTATGTTATTAGCATCAGAAAAACAACTATTGTCATTTTAATGGTTTATATTTGCTCTACTTAAAAGGTCTATATTTACTTTTAATGGTTTATATTTACTTCTGAGCTCTACATCTTCATTTGTTTACTCACACTGTTGGAAGTTTTACAGTTTTTTTGTGACATACATGCACACTTTTACAAAATTTTATTTAGTAGCAAAAGACGGGTGGGGGAAAGGGGGGAAGATACAATATATATATTCACTTTAGAACTTCATTTTGATTGTATTATGGAAAACAAGCAGAATGTTTGAAAGAATCCAATAAAAATGTAGTATAAAAAGTGCTTCAACATTGTGTTATTCCATAAATGAATGCATGAAGCTCACATAGCAAATCTCTTGCAACTTCTTCAAAGTATGAAAAAATTACAGAACATGGCACAAAACATACATATCAATAACTAAATAAGACATTTTCAGCATCAAAATATGTTTTCAGAATCTGCTAGAATAATTTTGTGTGTAAAAAGAAATGTGGAAAATGAAAGTCACGAGTTCATTACAGCTCTTTATGGATGAACCAATAAGAATACACTGAACAGACACCCATCAGCAACTTCCAAATGACAACACTGGTCAATGTCACTACGTGAGTTCAATGCATTTTTAGCTTTTTAGAGGAACACTTATCTCGCTATTCATATTATAAATAATGCCATGAAATGCCAGAAAATGAAGAATTTTATAATTCTACAAAGTCAGGTGTCAACATTTTTGACAAAATGGCAAGAAACTGTTTAATAAAACAGGAAATTGCAGATGGCCAATGCATGTGTTTTATAATATTTTAATTTGGTTGCAATTAGTGCTTACATTGTATACAAAGAAGGATAATTTCTAGGAGAGAATTAATTACTATAACTTTTTGAAGAATTTTGACAAAAATATTTCATGTTCTGTTCCATAAGTTTCTGACACCAAATTAGAAAATATAATAAAAGTAGAATTGAAGCAGTAGCCACAGCTTGTGATCTCGGCTAATATTACCATTCAGATTCTGTTAATGAACTGTCCTGCCTGTTTATGAAACAAAAATTGGACAATACATCACTTATGAGCAACACTTTGGTTAATATTATCAAAACATTATAGAATAATTTTTGTAATAGAAGTAAAGTTGTCAAATAAGAGATAAAGCCACCAAACAAGATCAAAACAGATTAAAATTTGCCAAGTATCAGAAAAATATCTTCAAAGCAGAGGAATAAGTTGATGTACAGTTTGTTTTCGATATTTAAAATTAGGCAAAAAAGCAAGTTTAGTTTAAATTTTGAACAACTCTATCGATTTTGAAAACGACAAGACACAGGTGACCCCTCCCTAAAAATCCTGTAGAATTCTGCCTGCTCTTGAAAAATAATAATATTAATTGAGAACATCTATACCAGACTAGCTTGCTTTTTTTTTATCTAATTTAAAATTTTATGTTTGTGCGCTATCTTCCAGTAACTGAGGAATGTCCTCTGAGTATTAAGATTAGGGGTATGAGTATTGGACAAATAATTTTCAGAGCAGTTCATAATTCAATTTTTTCATCTGCCCAATTAAAACTATGGGAAAGTACTTATTTACATGCTTCTTTTTATATTTATGTTAAAATAATACCTACTAGAGATAGATGATCTGTTCCAGAATCAACTCAAAGAACCGATTCCGTTGACTGAACATATGATCAGTGCTCCAGTGAAAACGGAATGGTTCTTTCAGTTCGCTGAGAGCTGCTGGGAAGCGTGCCAAAAATTTGATTCCTTTTAATGTAAACACTAGCAATCTTTCTTTTACTATTTATCGAAAACGTCTCTGACCTATTTTTTTATGTGTGTCTGTTATGTATGTGTATATATATGTATATATATATATATATATATATATATATATATATATATATGTGTGTGTGCTTTTGGCTTGCATGTGTTCCATCTAGTAATTATAAAACAAAATATTAAATAAACTAATGAATCTCAGCAAAATTGATCACTCCTGTTTGTAAATGGATGGAGTCTTTTTTTTTTTTTTTTTCATCTGGCAGCACAGGGATCTGTTTAAAGTACGCAGATTATAGGAACTAGTACCTCGAATTTCCAGCTATCAGCACTCTGACACTATACACAGTCGTGATTGGATATGATTCTAACAAGTCTTCATTATTCACTCTTTCAAATATAACTAGTCCCTCAGAGTCTCAGCTCTCAGTGCCAGTGCTGCCAGATCGTGCGACTTTGCGAAATTTTTGCAACATCCATACTTTTCTATGCTATTTTTTGCGACTTCAAAGTTTTTTAATATATCGTAAAATGCTTTCATTTTAAAAGAATTTATCAATTAAATATTACTGATAATAAAAAAATAGTTTATTTAGACTTAACTAAAAGTTGACAGCTGGAAATCTTATTAGATGCGGGCTTTCCTTTTCAAGGCTGCACAGCCTGATGCCGTTATAACAAGAAAGAGGAAGTGAAAAAAGTAAAAAGAAAAAAAAAAAAAAAAAAAAAAAAAAAAAAAAAAAAAAAAAAGCTTCAGGATCTCTCACTACCCTCTCTCGTCCATCATGCATTTCGTTTTTAAGTCAGTTCCCTCCCCCTCAGTTCTATGGTGATAATGAATCGAACCAAAGAAGTTGCAGCTTGTGCACCATGTATTGGGTACCCAAACAGAGAAATATATTAAATTCATACTCTTGATTATAATATTGCTAAGAACTAAGCAATGGAAATGACTTGAAAAATCAAAGCAAACGGCACATTTTTCTAAATAACGGCACAAATAAATGTTAACAGTGAAAGAACAAGGATTTCTTAAGTAATCAAAATCTTGAAACAGATACACCACACAAGAACGGAAAACTCACTGAAAAAGCATTCCTTAATCAAAATGTTCACGAATTAAGGACAACCTACATACATAAATAAATACAATAAATGAATTAAAAAAGTAAATAAAAAAATACTTCCAACTCAAAAAATTTAATACGAAAGAGCTAACAGTCTAAACACGAGGAATTTCTTAAGAATGGATATCTGCAAATTAGTTTAAAAATTGAAACCTAAATTAAATGAGAATTAATGAAAAAAGAAATGGATATTTAAGCAATTGAAAATGAGCAATATAGTTTTAAAATTCTCGTGAAAACTAAGATACGTAATTAAAAAGACTAAGAATTGAATGCAGTCTGTAACTTGCAGTAAATTTGTGATGACGTCAGAGGTCATGTGAGCCTGTGTAACTATGACGTTACAAAATCACGTGATCTCTGATATCATTTACAATTTTTTTTAGTCTTCTTTTGCTACTTTAATTGAAAATTTTCTGGCAACAGTGCTCAGCGCTCGACACTATTCGGAGTCGTGATTGGATCTAATTCCAATGAATCTTCATTATTTGCTCTTTCAAATCTAGCTCCTGCAGAGTCTCGATTATTTGCTAATTTAATTTTCTCTGAACTGTTCCTTTGAGTTCCATTTTGATTCTTTGAATACTGTGACATAGTATAGCTATGTATATACGGTATTACTCTTTTTTTTATACAATATTACTGTAATATTTATGTAAAATAATAAATTGTATTTTTATTTATTTACTTATTTTAAACGTCTTGCAATCAAGCACTGTGAATTTCTCTTTAATCTTCTTTAGAATTAGTATATTTAATTTTCATTACAGTCAAAAGTCGTTAATCCGGACTCGTCGGGACTTCGGCGATTCCGGATCATCAGTTTAAATCTCGTAAGATGGCATGCAGAAATTCTAAAATTAAAAATATGAAACTGTAATTTATGAAATAAAGAACAATTATGATCTAAAGGGTATCAAAATTTACAAAAAGAAAAAGCTTAATATTTATTTGTTTACTTTATTAAACATTTCTTTCAATGTAAGTTGTTTAAGTCCTGTACTTGCTGTGCCAAGAATACCGACTAACTTGTCAATCGAAATTTTTGTCACATTCTTCATGTCTTTATCCATTTTTTGCAGCAATTCCACGTTTTGTTTGACGGACATCGAAACATACTTTCGTTTTGTAGATCCTTTGGGAGCTCCAGCATCGGAAATTCTATTTTACATAATCGAAAGTTCAAGTTTACTTTTATAAAAATTGCTCTTACAGTCTGCAAAAAATAATAAGCCGCATCCAATTCGAAGATCAAGGAACAATGCAATCATCAACATTAACTGAAATAGATAATTAAATAATTTTAGCTTATACCGTCTGTTATACATTAAACGCGCACGCAAAAACCTATTCTGCGCTTGCGCACAAGCATATGCACAGTCCTAAAGGTCTTATGCGCACGCATAAATGCCTATGTGCATGTGTCAATGCGGCACATTCGCAGAAAGTTTTTAGCTTTGAGGTCCGGATTATGGGTGTCCAAATTAACGAATTTTGACTGTATTTTTTAACATTTTTTCATTCCAGAATTTTATTGTTATTCTATGGAGAAAGGGTTTTCTTGGGGAATCTTTTAAGTACAGTTGAAAGAAATCAGACGAGGGAACAAGCTGTTTGATCGAGTTGTTTCTAGCGATCCCATTCCTTGTTAAATTATTTCTGCTTTTCCCCCCATCCTTACACACCACTCTTGATCTATGCCTGTTCTGAGCACACTCATCAATATTACTGTTAGTCAATGGTGAATCGTTAGAAAGAACTAATCACTTCAGTGAGGTTGATCTCATCCCTTAAAGGAGCAGTTTTGCTCATCTCTAATACCCACTGCTGTTTTGAAGGATATTTTTTTCTCATTGTTTAGTGTTATCAAAATAGTTGCAGACAAACATGATCACATTAAGTGGCACCTATTGTATATACTAGAAATATAACAGATCAGTTAATAAAAAATATTAAAACGGAATAAAAAATAAAATTTGCATATATTACATTCTTGATTTTCATTAATTTTGTAAAAATGGCAACTTCAGACTTTCTTTAATAACAAAAATAATCCTATTCTAATGCTAATTCATACACAATTAAAATCTTCGGTTTGGATTATTTATTTAAACTCTCAATGACGGTAAAATTAATATTTACTTTTCATAAAACTTACTGCCTACTTCTGGATTAAAAATCTTTGTTATTTATTTAAAAAAAATCATGCAGTTATTGAATATAGTGAAATATAAGCATGTAGTAATATTGAAGAAATATGCTTTTTGCAGTTCCATAAAAACATAGAATAGAACTTCCATAAACACATTTTATGACCATTCATACAATTTCCTATCCTAAAAACTTTATAATCTGAGAACCTTTACATACATAATTATGCCTTGGACATATAATAGTACTACACAACTGATGTGTTCATAATTTCAGTCTCACTAATACTTACAAAATATTATATGATAAAAAATAATTTAACCCCAATTTTGTTTCAACTACACAGCTAAAATACTAAAAATCGATCTACTCCACAGTCTGTTACTAGTCAAGTGGCTAAAATAACACACAAATTATTTTGTCTGTGAAAGACAAAGTGTTTGTCTATCTTGTGTATCAAAAAGGTTGTTGGCATAGGTCTTTTTAAGGTTTCTTTCGAATCCAACATAAATATAGTATGTTAATTTCTCTTAGAAAACCTTTCTTGAAGATATTACTTTAGGCTAATAAGCCTTGAGGGTTTCATAGTAATTAATAAAAAAATTACATAAATTTCACGTTCCCACCTTCCATCCAATGTCCTAGAACAAATATTATTATGATAGAATTTTGAATTCTGAGCTATAAGTTTGCATTATAAGTAAAAAATTATGACTTCTTCATTTAAAACAAAGAAAGTCAATAATCACATACCAAATTCTTTATTTTATTTATTTATTTTTTGGAAATATCTGAAGGATACGAAATTTGTAGTACTTTATATTCAAAAACAGAAGTATTCCTTACAGAAAAATAAAAAAGTTAACTTGCTAATGTAAATATTTTTTTATATCTCCAAGAACATATGTAAAATAAATCATGTATTTAATAATCAAATTATCTTCATAACATTTTAAATTCCTTACCCATCAAGTAAACTTAAATGATTAAAATTATCTGTTTTTACATATTCTTAATATTTATATTATACCATGATTTAAAATCCTATATTAAAGAAAATATCACTGAAAGTTAATTTTTGATGAAAATAATTAAAACTAAGAAATATTTTAAGAAAAACTTTAAATAACTCAGAGTTGCAATGTAAAGGATACGGATTACAAAACATCCTTTTCAGGTCAACTTTTTCTTTGCAATATGGACATGTTTGCTTTTTTCCAACTATACACCATCCACGTATACAGAATTCATGAAATCTTTGATGATATAAGGAAAATAAGAAATTTAAGTACATTAATACATTTTTATTAAAATATAACAAAAATTATTTAGTAACATAAAAACAGTTACCTTTTTAGACAGAATTCACCTGACTTTTGTGAAATATTTAACATTTCTATTAATGTAAGACATAAATATCAACCCACACACCCACCTACCCACACAGGGGGGGGGCGGAACACTTTTTATTCACCAAAATATAAGTGAGACAGTTTGTTGTTTCCACCTGAAAATCATGTGTTACAGACTCTCAGACACTGGCTTAGCATTTTTTGCCCTTTCTATGCATTTAACTTATTGTTTGGAATGACAAAATCATTGGAACAAACTAACAGTTCCTCAGATAAATCTAATTAAAAATATCAGCAGCAATGACAAAGCATGTAGAAAATGGGGAGGGGGAAAAGGTTAAAAAGAATGTTTTGAGAGAAAGCATCCAAAATTAAGATATGTTTTAACAAATAGTGCCTAAGAATAATTTAATTTGAGGGGGAAAAATAAATTCAATGCTTTATTCTGTTTTTAAATGTACGGTTTTTTTCCTATTGTTGAATTTAAATCTGTAAGTTTAAAAAACAGTTGAAAGACAAGCTGAAAGAACAAATAACAAGTTAACTCCTTGAGGACCAGCGCACAAAGAATAAAGCACAGTCACGGGACCGGACCCGCTAAAATGGATCGTCGTTACTGCCTGCGCATTTTCAGCAGTTAAACCTAATTTTACACACACACACAAAATAAATAAATGAAATAAAACCATATTTTGACATAATGACTTCAATTAATGACACGTCACGTGTTTAATGTACTTGTTTTTAATGTGCATTAATATAAAGAATATCACATTAATAGAAATAAATTAAACAGGCAAAACACACAGAAATATCATGAGATTGTTAGGGAAAAAAGTGTCTGACAGCCAAACTATTGGCATATTTAAATTAGAACGACATACAGATTTCTGCTCAAGCTCAAATAAACTTTTCATCGGAGGTGGATAGTTTAACTGATGAAAGATTCTGCGAATATTAAAGACTTGATTTCATTGATTAATCTATTACAATGATGCTCGCGACACTACACGTTTTAGTTTTGGATGTTCTGATACTGAACTGTCTGATATTCAGGTACAGAAGACTAAATACAGTCAATCTAATCACTACAGTAAACTGTGAGAAGAAGTTGCCTATGTTACCCCTCGGCCACTTCTGAATGCGAACATTAATGGAAAGTCCAGAAATAAAGAAATTATTACTTAGCAGTTGTTAAGAAGAATTTCCGTGATCAAAAATATCTCTTTGCTTGAAATGAAAGTCATAATTTTACTTAACATACCATTACTTAACAAGAGGACTAAAGGTCCCTCCTTCTCATCAGGAGAATGAAATTACTAGAAAGGGGGAAAAAGAAGAAAATAAAGCATTGGCAAAGGTGTTTCAGAACCACGTGGTCGTTATCAGCACCGCAAGTGGTCATAACTGGATTTTTGAATCAGAGTTACACTGGCCGCCTACTTTTACTGAGCAAGGCTATCTGATCAAACATATAACACATAGACTAAAACGCAAGAAAAAAATCAGCAAATAAGTCAAAAAATAGGGAGCCAGGGGCAACTGCACCTTCATGCACCTAGTCTGAACCTCAAGGACAAGATGCTGATTTCAGGGAATCTATTTCAGAGGATGGCAGAAAATTTTCCAGAGAATGGATTTTTTAAGAAGTGTTCTAATAGAGAGGTAAATAGATCATAACTGGCTTATTTATTTAAAAAAAAAAAAAAATCTATATCGTTATTCTGCTTTCTATGCATTTTTTTTACTAAAAGTAAGACAGATTCTACTATTTCCAATCCAAAAAGAAGTTTCAAAGATTGGAAAAAAATTAAACGAATTTCTGATCACGAAAATTCTATGTTACATCGTGATTCTTATCTTCAATGGAAATGCACTGAAAAAAATTTAAAGGAAGTGATTTCATAGATGATTCTCTGCATAAAGCAGTAGAATCAGAAAAAGAAAAGTGGTGACATACCTTACATGTTATATTAGACATCATTTTGTTTTGTTCAAAACATAATTTACCTCTTAAAGGTACGCATAATATTTTTGGCAGTTCAAGTGCAGGAGTGCTCTCAAATTTAATTGAATTAATAAGTCATTATGATAGAAATATTGTCAATCATACAGCTAATCATAGAAAGGGAACCGTTTCTTATCTGTCTAATAAAGTACAATATGAATTTATATTACTGTTAGGTAATCATGTTGGATTTGAAATTCATTCTAGGATCAAAAAAGTGAAATGTTTTTTTTTCTTTGATATTTGATTGTGCACCTGATGTTTCACATCATGAGCAACTGCGGCAGATTATTAGATATTTGTACATAAAAGACGAATGCATATTTATTGAAGAAAGCTTTATAGATTTTATAGAAACAAAAGAGAAAACTAATAGCGGTTTAGCAAATGAAATTATTTACAAGTTAGAAAAGAATGGTTTCGACATTCAAAATGTTCGAGGACAAGGTTAAGATAATGGGGCCAATATGGCTGAATTGTACAAAGGCATGCAAGCCATTATTTGCCAAAGAAATTATCAAGCTATGTATATTCTTTGATCGGCTCCTATTTTAATAGTATGAAAAAAATGCTGCTTCAACAAATTCAAATATGTTAAAGTAGATGGGATGCACTTATGTCCATTTTGAAAACAACATTAAAAAGTCATACGGATACACAATGGTCATCAAGAGGAAATGCTGTTAAAGAATTAGGTCTACAAATAACAGAAATACATAGATTATTGAAAGATATGACATCAAATCACTAATCTTTGCAATGGGCTGAAAACAACAGCACTTTGAAATAAATCAATTACAAATTTTTATGTTTGTTATCTGCATGGAACTTAATACTGTAAGAAATCAAAATAGTAAATAAAGCCTTGAAGTCAAAAACTGTAACTGTCTATAAAGCAGCACGTTTAAACAGAGGGACTATGTCTTTCATTATAGGAAATGAAAGAAAATATTTCTCACTGAACTTTTGAAAAGTGTAAAACTTCAGCTTTAGAGATGAATATATCATCAGAATTTGAAGAGAAACAAAAATGAAAAGTTAATCAATCAAACTGCGAGGAATCAATTAATGTAGAAATTTTTCAGAAAAAATACATTTTTATAGAAATTAAAGAGGTGTTCAACATTTTAATTTCACATTTGAAATGGCGACACGAAAATTTAAATGAAATCTCTTCCGATTTTCAGTGGTTGGTGAACAATTAATGTCATTAGATTCAAGTAATTTAAAAGCAGCAGCTTATAACTTAGCACTTAAATATCTGAATGATATGAAAGCTGAGGAAATTCAGTTAGAAATACCTAGTTTTAAAAACTATGCTATTTCAATAATTCCAGATACAAAAGCAGCTACAAGCTTAGAACTTTTAAAATAATTCTTCAGTATAATTTAGTTCAGTCCTATCTGAATTTGAAAGCAGCATTAAGAATTTTTTTAACGTTGCCAGTTACTGTAGCTAGCGGCAAAAGAAGCTTTAGTAAACTTAAAATAATAAAGATCTATATGAGATCTTCACTAGGCCAAGAAAACTTTCAAACACGGCCATTCTCTCTATACAACCTAAGTTAAGTAATCAAAAAGATTTTGAAAAATTATTGAGGACTTTGTTTCTTTAAAAGCAAGACAAATTAAAGTATAAATATGCTTGAAATGTCTATGCCATAAATTTTTGAGCAGGTGTTTTATTTTCACTTAATATTATTTGCCATTTTTCAAAAAGCATATTTTTAATGTTTTCTATTTCAAAATTAATTATTATACAGTACAAAGTCCATAATCCGGACTCGTTGGGACTTCGGTGATTCCGGAATAGGTTTTTTTTCCCAGATTATAGATCATCAATTTAAATCTGGTAAGATGGCATGCAGAAATTATACAATTAAAAACATGAAACTGTAATTTATGAAATAAAGAGCAATTATAATCTAAAGGGTATCAAAATTTACAATAAAAAAGCTTAGTATTTATTTGTTTACTTTATTAAACATTTCTTTCAATGTAAGTTGTTTAAGTTGCTTCGTTTTTTAAACGTGCATGCGTAAACATTAAACGCGCTTGCGTAACATTAAACGAGCAAGTTTGTGGCTTTGAGGTCTGGATTATAGCTCATTCTGGATAATGGACGTCCAGATTAGATTAGTCGGGACTTTGTACTGTATATGTTTCACTTTGTGGAATATACAAAGTTGTAATTAAATATTATTGTAAGATTTATTGTATTTTCACTTGAAATAGTTACTTTTAATGAGCATAAAATATATATAAATATGCAATAATGCATATATATATGAAATATTAGCTCTAAATTTCTTACTTAATGTCTTTAATGATATATATATATATGTATATTTTGTGCATTTTTGTACAATGTTATGTTTTCAAACATCATTTAGTATGATTTATTTATTCTTCCCCACACACACGAATAGGTAAATAAATGATCTTGCACTGTATACAAGGGCGCACATGCCATTTATATTACCAATTTTTCTACAGTCTGAAGTCAGAATACAGGTCTACTTAATAATTGCAACTAACTAACATGGAGAAATACATATTTCAAATCATACTTAATTTACTTTAATATTTTAAAGAAGTACATATGTAAGCTGTCTGAAAACTTTCCGAACTAACAAAGAAAAAAAGATATTTTTTTTCCCAAAATTACCTTTATTTTTTGACATATTCTCCTTGTAAATGTATACATTTCTTTTAGCGATGCTCCCATCCTTTTAACCCGCCCAAATAATATAAAGAATCTTTCTCTATAATGTCTCCTCATTTGACAGAACTTTGTCCTCCAAGTGCTTCCTTTAGCTTAGGGAATAAAAAACGTCATTTGATGCCCAGGTCTGATGAATAGGGCAGGTAGTCAAGCAGTTCAAATCGTAATCCA